AGCCAGCCATGCTGGCTGGGGAATGCTGGGTGTTGAAGTCCACATATCTTCAAGTTCCCAAGGTTGAGAAACCCTGATTTAAACTAATTCCAGCACCTATAAATCAAAATAATACTGAAACTCCTTCTCTTTTCTGGGCAGGCACCATAACTGATGCCAACTTGAAGCTCCTGCAGGAAGCAGAACAGCAGCTGAAGAGAATTGTTACTGAGAAATTTGATGCTGCCATGAAGCAGGAAGACCTGCCACAAGTAGAACGCTTCTTCAAGATCTTCCCCCTGCTAGGTCTGCATGAAGAAGGGCTGAGTAACTTCTCCAAATACCTTTGCAAACAGGTGAGTGTCCCTGCAGGGTTGTGGATGGACAGCAGCACTCATGGCGCTGAGAGGTACTCTGCACTGTGTCATTCTAGTGGATGAACCACATAGCATCTGGGGGCTCTGCTGCTTTTCTTCTTATCCAGTGAATCAGCTGGATGTGATTAGAAGCAGGTATCTTTTGAGGAACAAAGTGAGTACCCCTGTTATTCACTGATCTCAATGTTATCAATTTTCAGCTTCAATTTAACTCCATGTGTTTTGCACAGTTTCCTGGATAGCTGATATAGGCTTCTTTCAGTGTGTTGCAATCAGCTTCTCTTCTAATGTTTGAGGTGTACTCGTTATTGTAAAAAAGAGTAAGCTTTCATGCTGCCAAGTTGTGTTCTGTTTGTAATCAGCCACAAGGCAAAGATCAGCTGATAACCCGTGCTACCAGGTGGCGCATCCCTAACCCTGAATTTTGTTTTGAGGTGCTAGCAACCCTTCCCAGTTCTATCCATCTACAAATTGGATGAGATTTCTTTCCATCCCTTCAGGTATAATTTTGAATTACCCTGAAATTTGCACACCTTTTTGAGAATGTGATAGAAGTTAGAAATGAATTCATAATCCTTGCTTCAGGAATACACACTAACTTTGTGTTCCTTTCTCCAATAACATATCTCTATTCTGCCTTGCCTCTTTTTTTAAAAAAATTATTTAATAAATACCACTTTCCTGGAATCAAAATGTTAGATTATCCTTTCACCTTTGGCTTTCTGTAAGTTTGAGAATTCCAGCATGAACCTGGAGTCTCTTCACTGGGTTTTCACCAATAAAACTTAATTGGCCATCTGTTCCCTACCACTTGTGATGAAAGTGAATCTCCTCTTTGATCCTCTACCTTCTGAAAGAGGAACCTTGCCAGGAGTTTATAGAAGATATGCTTAGTACATTTTGGCTGTCCCAGCAGATCAGTGAAGTCTTCCGTAACTGCCTATTATTTGTTCTTTGAAGTATCTGCAGTTTGTTTCAGGAGGATATTGGTCAGTTGGTATGCAATAAGAAGTAGTAGATGGCAATGGTGAGCCATCTTACACCAGTGAGTGTCAGCAAGTTGGTGCTGTGAGACAACAGAGCAGGCTAAGGGGCCCTCTTCTTTCCAGGTTGCTAACAAAGCAGAAGAGAATTTACAGTTAGCATTGCAGACCGACACAACGGACCGAAGAGCTGCAGTCCTTTTTGCAGACACGCTGACACTCCTCTTTGAAGGTAAAGCCCTGCCCAGCTTTCATCCTGAGAACCCAGAAGAGATGAGTGAGGCGTTATTCCTTGGCTGACCCCAGAGGGACCATCACAGCCATGTTGAGCCTTCCACCTGTGTGGGCAGGGGGGCACCGAGCTTCTTTGTGCTGCTTTTCTTTGGAATCTCATAGAGGAGGACAAGGGGAAGCAATCAGCTAGGCTGAGGCCTCCCAGGGAGTCTTTGTAGCTGTGACAAGACTACACCCCTGGTAGACTCTGGGACAAAGGGGCGGGGCGGGGCGGGGC